ACGATTTCGCCCATTACGCCGCACAAGTTACATATCACCGTCGGAATGAGAGCAATAATTGTAGGGCTATCAATCACTGATAACAATAAACTGATGAGCGGTAAAAGCTTTTAAAGCGTCACCTATGGTCAATTTTGGGCATGGTAGGTTTTTTCGATTTCGCGGGTGCGCGCAATTTTAAAGCATGACATGTTTGGTGTCTATTTACCCGACGTGACCCCGCTTTTTATATTTTACCAAAAATATGGGTAATAAATGGGTGTGGTTACTAGGGGTGTGGTCACTAAAGGGTGTGGCCACTGAGGGGTGTGGTCACTGAGGGGCGCTGTAAAGCTTTCTCGCACAGGGCGCCTAAAGACCTAAGGCCGGCCCTGATAATAAATGTTTCCTAACATAATGTAAAAAAACTAAAATTTTCAGGAATTTTCCCGAAATATAGTAAAAAATAAAGTGGTGATTAAATACCACCAAAAGAAAGCTCTATCTGTCCCCAAAAAATTGTATAAAATTCATTTCAGTACAGCGTTGCGTGACGGAATAAACGTCAGTAAAAGTACCGCAGCTCTGAATACTGAAAAATTGCCTGGCCAGGAAGGGGGGGGGGGTCTAAACACCAGGTCAGCAAGTGGTTAAACAAAAAAAAATACCCTTGGAAATGTTTTGTTAAATCTGCCGACACCCAAGTTATTGCATTTTTGTGCTCTTTTCCACTATGTTTTTTTTTTTTTGCGAGATCAAAATTGCACGGTTCCATCTGCAGAGAAGTGTCGAAAATTGCTCCTGCACCTTTTTGCGTGACAAGCGAAATCGCCCGCCAATGCAATGCAAAGGTATGATCAGCCTCCGTTGACTTGAACGTGAATCTGTGTTCTCCCAATTTTCTGTGGCTAAATCTGCACGATAAATCGCATAGGTGCAAATCAGGCCTAATAGGTGCAGAAATACCTGCTAATCACATCAGAAATTCAGAGCTGTCCTATTACTTCTTGTTGCATCTACAGGACAGCAAGTAAAGGGAAATCTCCCTAACAAGACATAGCCTACAGAAAAATTGACAGGATTTAACCCTTCCTTACTCTTTCCAAAACTGCTTTTGGCTATACATACATCAGTTTTATTTTCAAACCTCCCATTTGTATTTATTATACTTTTAGGCATCATTATACACACACATGCAGAACACAGTTTAAACATACCTTGTTTCGATAGCACATAACGTTACCAGTGTGTTGCACAAAGCATACAGAAGACCACTGTCAAGAAGCATATCAGCTACTTTTGAACAGGAGTGAAGGATCTGAAGCAAAATGCAAAATGAGTTGTGCAACAAGGTGGCATTGTGTAAGGAATTCTCAATCAATCCAAGAATAGGGATGATGCACCACTTTTGGAAAACGCCCACATTTCGTATGTCTTCTACTTCAAATCTATTCAGAATTAAACAGGTAACATAGAATGGGAAATAAAATACAGTTTGAAAAAAGGCTACATTAACTAAAGTATATAAAAGAATATATAAAAAAGTATCCTGTCTCTAGTAGTTAAATAGATACTGCTTCTAAATATAGGATAATATTTTAGAGGACAAGTACATTTTCAAGGCATAGTATGAGCTTCTATATTTGCTTGATCTATAATTTTGTTGCATTATTTTATTTACAGACTTCAGAATTGTAAGCAGGGGAAAGATGAGAAGAAAACACTTCTGGGCATCTTCATGATATGACAGCGCCCCCCCCATCTCCCTGTACCATAAATTCCATGCCCCACCCAATGTTAACCCTGTTAACACTAAACTTTGTTAACATGTGTATCAAGTCGGGTTTGTTGGTTGACTTACTTCTAATTTTCATTTGCTAGGTTTTGGTTTGTAATACATTATACAATAACTAATATATGGGATAAAGTACACATATAGTGTATTAAAATATTCAAAATCTCTTTTTGAGTCACCTCATTTTCAGAGCTGTGTGCAGGAGAACAGATCTCGAATACAGTTCAAAGCTGGCTACACACTGAGAAAATTTCAGCTGGTTTTTGATGAACTGGATGAGATTTTGCTCAGTGGGTGAACCTGTCTGCCGCCACATGACTGATTGATTGGAAAATTTAAGGAGCTGGGTAGAAAACGGTCAGCCAAACCGCACCTGCATCATATCAGATGCCGGCACTGTTCAACTATTTTGACAGCCGGTGGGGCAAACTGTCAAAATACAATAGCTGCAGTGGAAGAATCCTCCATCCATGCTGTTTACCATGGATGTGGGAACCCATTAGATTTTTTTTGTTCACCCTGAAAACTGAACACCTATCTGTAGCTAGTGAGTACCTAGCTTTAGGGAATGTAAACAAACAATGTTGACGTTCACAACTTTAACACTGTTTGTTTACATATTCTGAGGCTGTCTTTGGGAGCAGCTGCCAATGACATAGTGGTAGGGAGATGATCAGCAGTAGGCATCTGGAAAAATGAAAAATCCAAAACATCCACAGTGTTAGATTCTTCGAGTTTCCCCCTGCTTGTAGCACTGCAGTTTGTGAATAAAATCATTGCCCAGAAGGGGCAATAATAATTACAAAAAGAACTATTATGGCTTGTTCACACCATGTCTGTACCAGAATTGGATGCGTTTCTGCAAACACGTTGCAGTGCACTTGCATGTGTTTTAGATGCATTCCAGACCAGAAAAAAATAGTGCATGCAGTATTTTCTGCACAGGTGTGAACAGAGCCTAGAAATACCACAGGAATAGACTGGGAAGCATTTCAGTTGCAGACAAAAAAACATTCTGGTCCAGACATGGTGTAAACAAGCCTTTACATTAGCATATGAAACAATATTATTTACTTTAGGTGACAGGGTCCATAACTTAATGGCTCTAAAAGAATATACAAATAAACATTCTAGGGGATGATTTTAGCCATATGTGAAAAAGCAAATGGCTTTATGTAAATCGTCTTTTCAAAGCATGTTGATGTTTCAAAAACCTGCTTCTAAGGAAAGTTTGTAAAAATGTACTCTGTATGTGAGGGCAGTCATACAGCTTATTACACCTGCAGCTTCCTGCTTAGTAGAGGTACACAGTGACTGTGTTTTACTGCTTCTCCCTCAAAATGCAAGTCTATAGGAGAGAACATACACTAATATGAGAGAATACAATTTCAAGTAGATACATTCTGGATAGAAACTGCCCTAAACAGGGATATAGCCCCACATACAACTACATCTTAAAACCCACTATAATGAAAGAATATTATAATTCAGACTTTGTTTTAAGATAAATATCAAAATGTATGTGTTCATCTGTATATAAGGGAGGCAAATGTAGTGCATCAGTAACACTTGAAGCGTACAAGATCAGTTAAATGTTAATGTATCCAAAATGCAGATCTATCTCTTGACCTACATTCTTTAAATGCTTCTGAGGGATAAGTGCTGATCTGTGACCAGCCTGGCTCTTGTGGGAATCCACAAGACTATCTATAGGAGAAACAGGACATTTCTAGCCAATATAGCAGGAAGGTGTTAAAGGCACCATGTTGCCAATACTATTAAGCCATAGATCTCTAAACAAGCAAAATAAATAAATAGAAAAACGTACTCCTCATCAAGCCGGATGTGTCGTCCGAAGAACATCTCCAAGAGGCACTCTATTACCCTTTGACTCCCCTGGTGCAAATAGAGCTGGTTGGCTAGCAATGTAAAACCACTTTTCTTTAAAAATGCCTCTTTGTACTCCTTGGATACTCGATGAAAATATGAATTCAAAAGCTAGATAAATGTAAAAGGAAGGTTTGAAACAAATACACATTATTGCTATATATATATATATATATATTTATATATAGTATATATTAGGGATGCACGGAAATTTCGGCCGAAAATGGTGCTATGGGCAAAATGCAGATGGTACCAAAACGTCCGAAAATGTGGCTGAAAATTCAGTGCATCCCTAGCCTCTCTCCTCCAGGGGACACAGACCGGCACCCAGCGGGGAGAAGAGAAGCTGTCACAGGTGACCTTCTGTGGCAGGCGAGTCAGAATGGAGAGCGGGGAGGAGTGAGCAGTCAACTGTCATAGGAAGTTAAGCTCTCCTTCCATAACGCCCCACTCGGCCTCCTGTGATAGGCAGAGCAGTCAGGATGGAGATGGGGTTACAAGAAGTGTTTGTAAATACCTAAGAACATAGTATGCTATGTCCCCAGTTATGAATGAATAGAAAGTGCTCTATGTCACGTCATGTCCATTCATGATTGTGGATATCGTAAGGGTACTATCTCCACAGTTTAGGAATGGACAGGAGCACTCAGTATAGAGTTCCTGTTTATTCATAACGGGCTGTAGAAAAAGAAATTTAGGACCTAATCGCTTTTTCTATTTTAAAAGGGAAATATCAGTGGTCTGTTTAGACCCTTGATACTCCCCCAAAAGTAAAGTTAAAAAATATTTTAAAAATGTTAAAAAGGTCGAGGGAAAAAAAAGCCATTTTCAGTTTCAGCCGGACATTTTTTTAAAAATGTTGGTCTAAAGATTTCATTTCGGTGCATCACTAATATTTTTTTTTTTTTCATTATAAAAAAGGTCTAAATGTAGTCCAGAAAAAAAAGGAGCTTTAGTTAAATTACCTAAAATATTTAAACATTAGGTTTAGAAAATGTATGTGAATCATGGGCAGTAAACTGAAGTACTGTTGCTGACTGATTTGAGAATTAACCAACATTTACATTGCACAAAAGTTGCTCCTGTGTAATTGTCCACTGTGCCAAGTAAAAAAATGTGTTTAACTACATTCGTAAAACAGCATCCCTTAGGTTTTCCGCTATAAACCATCAACATAAGACCATGCAGGCATTTACTGTATATAGTTCCTAGGGATGCACCAATGCCGATACTAGTAGCGGTGTAGATACTGAGTATTTGGGCGAGTACTCATACTTCCCCAAATGCTCTGATACTTACCTAGATACTGGAACTTTCCGGTTAGGGGGAGATCTCCCTCTGACCGGCAGTGCAGAGAGAGCATGGAGCCGGCTTCCTTTCCAATCAGGAAGCCAGGCAGTGGGTTATGGCCCACCTCCTGGCTTCCTTAAAGCTAGGAAGCCAGCTTCACTTGTTTCTAGGTAGCTTGGCTTCCTAACCAATCAGGAAGCCGGGTAGCACCTAATGACCCATCTCTCGGCTGCATAGGAACAAGTGAAGGATGCATAGGAACAAGTGAAGCTAGCATCCTAGCCTATCAGGAAGCCGGAGGGCTGGTCATGACGTGTCACCCCGGCTTCCTGATTGGCTAGGATGCTAGCTTCACTTGCTGGTAGGCAGCCTGGCTTTCTAACCAATTAGGAAACCGGGCGGCATGTAATGACCTGCCTCCTGGCTTTCTGCCTCGGCAAGTGAAGCTGGTGTTCTTATCGGTACTCTATACAGGAAAACAGTATTATGCATCCCTAATAGTTTCATAGCTCGAAATCATAGAATGGTCTACAAATTGTTACAGTGGAGAACTCAATATATTTTTTATATTAAAATATTATTCTACCACCTGATTCTGAATCAGGCGATTCACTTATATTGCTGTACACCTAAAATAGCAACTAACAGGCTACAGATTAAAAATAGATTAAATTTGAAATCAATTGTACCAACCTACTAGAGTAAGTAACCATAATGGACTTTTAAGGTGTAGGACATAAATATTCATAAAAATAGCAAATATACAAAAATATTAGGGCTGGTGATGATTAAAATTTTCGTGTTTTTCGATTAATAGAAATTTTTTTAAATCGATTAATTCTAACGCACATACAGATCCAACTACATTGGCCTATACACATACAGCACAGCAATGAAGTAATAAAATGAACTAGGATCACACTAATCCAGCACGTTATTAATCTCACGTGCCCCACTCAATATGGCTGCCGTTTGAGTGGGGCAACTCAGAATAATAACATGCTGGATTAGTGTGATCCTAGTTCATTTTATTACTTCATTGCTGTGCTGTATGTGTATAGACCAATGCCTTGGCTGGCGCTCGTGCAGAAAGTCTCTTGGGCAAACTCACCGGCCAAAGTGGCTCCGTCAGCTAACGAAGGGGGGAGGAGTCCGGTGACGTCACGGACAAGATGTCACCGGACTCCTCCCCCTTCCATTCGTTAGCCGTCACGGACATAGACGTCACCGGACTCCTCCCCCCCTTCCCTTCATTAGCCGACGGAGCCACATGGGGAAGGGGGGAGGAGACCGGTGACGTCGACGTCCGTGACGTCACCGGATCGTCAACTGGACTCCCGGAAGCCGACGGAGAGGTGAGTGTTTTCATTAGCGATCAAAATAATTTTAATCGATCATAAAAGTTTAACGATTAATCGAGAAATTAATCTTTAATTTCCACAGCCCTAAAAAATATCCAAATTTTATTACACAACAAAGGATGTAAAAATATCCAATACAATGGAACTGTTAAAAACTGCACTCCAGACATTTCAAAGAAATAAACAAGCAATAGGCACCGCCGCCCACTTGGTTTTACAGAGTGTCAGAGACCGAGGTACTGGGGGTGATCCTCCAGCCATGCACGTGAGTATTTAATATACAAAGGAGGCTTATTGTGGCACTATACAGATAAATGATGGGTTCACAGATTTCAATCTGCTTCATCAGACTTTTTAAAGCTTAGTAGATCTCTATAGTGTCTTCAGGAGGAGCATAAAGTATATAGTGTTGTCACCTCCATTCAATAGCCTGGTGCCATATATCGTCTATGCCGGAGGCAATAGGGGAGCAAAGGAGGCTTCCACATAGTCTGGTCTTAGTCAGTGTGCAATCCTCCAACCATAAAGATGGGGCCCAAAGCCAAAGGGGAAGCACCACTTAAGGATTCTTAGCCATAGTTAAAAGTGCAGACAAACATCTGGAGGAGTGGGGCCCAGGGTCAGAAGGAAGTAGATTCATTTAAATTAATCAAGTATGTTGAGATAAGGAATTGCTGAAATGGTTGATGTCACTGTATGGGCGCTTGTGGCCATCTTGCTAAATTCCATTCCCTACACATGATCAGAAATTTCAACTTAAACTAATCAAAAATGTTAAATATTGTAGTTGACCAATCCTTAGATATGGTAGCTGCATTAGTTTTCTTTTTAAGGCTTCTTTTTTGTTTGTATTTACATGCCAGTAACGCACATTCTGTCCTAGGATGGCAGCACTCACTCACTGTACTGTATCTATGAAGAGGCAGTGTTGTCACTCTAGGCTGTTCTGATTTTTACCACTGATAAATTGACAAAACTCATCAGTCACGCTGAAGCTGGTGTTTGTCATTGGTTTTTACATTGTCTTAATAAACAGGAGTTTGCATGACAACAGTTTTATTTTTTACTCCGTGACTGTGTATCAAATCTGAGGTGGTGGAGGTGGCTTTAAGAAGGGAGTGGGGATAAGAAGGGAGTGGAAAGTTCCAGGTAAAATGAGGTTGCTTTTCCATATGCTTGTGCTGATGTATAGATTGGGAGTGATCAAACAGCTAGGAGGAGGAAGATCAGCACAAGACCGTTGTTACTGGTGGTGATTACCTTAGGAACTAATGGATGGGGGCCTGTAAAACAAGCATTGATAGACATTAAGAAATGCAGGTCTGATATTTCCAATGAGTGCTGAATTGTATGGATATAATTTTGTAATTAAAAGCACACCTCTAGGTGTGCTATTACTGCTATTTGATAACCCAGGAGTGGGTGGATGAGCTGCAGCTGTACGTCAATACATGCGAGCACAGTTTTGATATTTGTTTACTGATATACTTATTTGAACATACAGCTCCCCCTCTCCTTTTCCACATTTCCACTGCATGCATGCACAATGACCTGTCTAATGCACCACAAAATGATGGAACAAGATGCAGGGAGCCTCCTGCTTGATGCTTCAGGAATGAAAAAAAGACAGACAATTAGATTTTCGGAATGAACCTGTAGCTGATACATAAATTCGGATGGTTTGAAGCACATCCATGCAGTTGTATGGAAACCTCCCTGTGATGTTTCAGAGCAGGACAAAAAGAAGGTGATGATGTCCTGATTAAGATGAAATGAGGACCCCACCTTAGGCAAAAGGGAATCCTTAAGCCTTAAAAGACCTTGTACTTGTAAAGAACAAGGAACAGTTACTTGCATGATAGTGTAGCCAGCTCCAAGACTCTCCTCGAGGAGTAAAATTATCAGACCGAGATCCCACAGCATCACCGTAGGACATCTAGGAAGAGCCATATGAGTGACACTCTGTATAAAGACCCTTACCAAGGAGAGAGACCCTTACCAAGGAGAGAGGCCCGTGGCTGTTGAAAAAGGATGGCCAACACCGATATTTTGTACTTACTGGTGGCCAAGTGTTCACATAACCCTGGCAAAGTAAGCCCTCCAGGTGTGATGGTACACCATGCGAGAGTGTAGGAAAAACTCAGGCAGAGCTCCATCCCTCAGGACCTGGACTTCAACAGCCAAACCATCAAAGCCATCGACCGAGAAGCAGGACTGAGTGCCGAGCCTTGAGCCAGAAGGTCCAGACAGTCAGCAAGCAACCATGCGGAGTCTGCCAGCATCCAAAGGAAGAGTACCATACTCTATTGGTCTAGTTGGGATCCACAAGGATCACTGGAAAGCTCTCTGCCTTAATCTTGCAAAGTAGTCGAGGAAAGGCATAAATGAGAGGAATGATCCCCCGGAGCCATCCGTGCATCAACCATGAATGCACGTTAATCCCTGGGTGGGGAAACAAACCTGTACAGTTTGTTGTTGAGTCTGGACACCAGGAGATACACATTCCTCAGTGGCAGCAACGTTTCAGAAACACTTCTGGGTGGGAGGCCATTCCCCGCTCACGAGTAAAAAAGTCGGCCTGCCGATTTTCCACTCCTGGAATGTGAATAGTGGTCAGGGCTGAAATACGAAGTTCTGTCCAGATCATGATCAGGACCCTTTCTCTTTGTGCCAAGTGACTTCTAGCTCCTCGTTGACTTTTGATGATACACTACGGCCATGGTGTTGTTGATTAGACCCTTGTGAGTTGCCCTTGAAGGTGACAGGTCCAGTGCTGCATGGTGAGTTAAATCACTCTCAGCTCCAGATGGATAGTCTGTATTCTGTCACCGTACAGTCAGCTGTACAGTCCAGGTCCCGAAATCACCTTCCCAGCCCAACAGGCTGATAGCTGTCATCCGTACCATCCACTGCAGTACAAAGACTGCCCTACCTTCAGTGCAGGGTCGGAGATCCACCAAGTTGGCGAGATCCTTGCCTTGGTCAACAAACCCATGGGGCAATCCAGAGAGTAAATCGGTTTGTCCCATGTAACTAGAATGCTTAGTGGCATCGATCTGGAGTGGAACTAAGCGTCCAATACTGCCTCAAAGATGGCCATCATCAGACTCAGGACTCCCATGTAGAACCTCACCCATGGCTAGTTCCTGGCCTGTAGAGTCCACACCTGAAAACGCTGAGATAGAACTTTCACCTGAGACAGAAACACCAGGGCATGGTTCATGTTCAGGAGAAGACCGAAGTATTCTAGATGGTAAGTGGGATCCAGATTTGACTTCTGGGGGTTGATTTTCCACCTAAAACACTGCAGTGTTTGAAGTGTCCTGTGGATATCTAACCTCAGAGTCTGTTTAGAGTGGGCCTTCAGCAACAGGCCATCCAAGTATACCACAACATGGACAACCTGAGAGCACAAAAGTGCAAGAACAGGGGATAACACAATTGTTAACACCCATAGGGCCATAGAAAGGCCAAAGATAAGTACCATGAATTGAAAGTGCACTTTCCCGAAGGCAAAATGCACAAGTGGTGATGTGGAGGGAAGATTGGCACATGTAGGTAGCCATCCTTGAAGTCCACCAAAGCAAGAAAGTCTTCCTGCTGAAGAGAAGCGATGACTGATCGTGCCAATTCAATGCGGTTCCACATAAACTTCGGAGACTTTAGGGACAAACGCTTTCTTTCGCTTTTAGAACAATTAACAAATTGGAGTAAAATTCTTCAGAACTCTTCTGTTGGACAGGAATGATGACTTCTGATGTCAGCAATTGCTGCAAAGCCAACTGCAGAGCCTAGATAGGCTTTGGGGGGGAAAGGGTGCATAAATCAAGAAGGGGGGTAGGATAAAAGCTTCAGCTTGTAACCCTGGGAGACTATTAAGTGTACCCACATATGCTGGTTATCTCAACTCCAGACAGACGCACAGGCCAACAGACGTCCCCCCAATGGAGAAAGTGGGGGCATCCCTTCATTGTGAGGATTACACATTGGAAGGTTTGGAAGGCTTAAGGTTTGAGGGCTTATGTTTAAACAAGGAGCCAGATTTTGCTTCGGAAGCCTGGAAGGGATGAAAAGAACCCTTACTAGCCAAAGTCAAGGAAGACTTATCAGGAGAAACCTCACGTTTCCCCTTGCTATTTAATTGAGTGCACTTAACCCCCCCCCCCCCAACATAATCTTTTTCTTAAAGGTGTCCAAATCCTCCAGTGAAAGGTATCCTCTCCAGGCTTTTCTTGCAAGCCGGTTCTGCCGATTAATACAAAACGACAGCAGCCTATGCACATCTGCACAGGCAGCAGACCCAGCCTAGAAAGCTTACGCAAGGCATTAGCCAATTTGTCCACACAGAGGTGAAAAGCCACCGGCAGACGATCCAAGCACCTGAGGGCCGCAGAGTCCACAATAATAAAACTTGGATTGCAGAGCCATGCATTTAGTCCAGTCCAGAGTCTGACATGCTTCCATAGAAGCAACTGCTGGTTGCAGGGTAGGTCCAATAAGGGCAAAGGAGGCCTTGAACAAGGTTTGCAGGGGCTTATCTACCTTATCTCTAATGACCAGGACATTTGCCACTGGATCGGTCAAGGATTTATTAACGGAGAAGTATTTAGAGAGTAAAACGTACTCTTCCCAATACTGAAGAGCCAGCGTGCAACACAGCTGATTCGTCTGCTCACGTTCTTCTCCCTGCAGGAAGCGGTGACTGTCAGTCACCGCTCCCTGTTGGGATTACCCTCTCCCGCTCTAGAGCGTTGTCATTCAGGCAGCGGGGTGGCTTCTAACAATACAGTCGGGATCTTTCTCAGCTGCAGCATGGTTTTGTGCCATCAGCAAATAGCGGGCAGTGTCCCGCTAGATGCTGACTTTGGGTCACAGGAGTACATTACTAAATGTACTCCTGTGACCCAAAAGAAGACTAAAAACAAAAAAAAGCTTGGCTTTAATTCTCTTTTAAAGCAAAAGAAAGCCACGTTTACCTCTAGCACCACCTATTTTTCAAGGATAATTTCTTCAAGGGAACATTGCTGTGCAAAGTATTTTGGAGGGACATTTTTTGTCCAAATGTTGCCAATCCACATTAAGTACCTCATGGACTTGAACTATGTTTTCACAGGGGAAGGGGAATCCCTAGATTGTAATATGAGAATACTCTTTAAATGTGGAATACACAGGCGGCTCTGAGAACATTGCTGTCAACGTCATAGAAGGGGAGAGGTAAATCCCCCAAACTGAAAAAAAAAAGAAAAGATACAGCCACTACAACTGAAGACTAGTAAATGGCAATGTGTTAAATGTTTGTTATTGTACCGTTGAGCCATACAATATGTTAGGATGACATTAACAAACCTAGGCCTGAGCCTTAAAAAGGATCAAATAGCAACATGTAATGTTAATTGGTGCACTAGCAAATCCACCACACAAGGCGCAAATGTACTAAGATGAAATGCCTTGCCAACAGATTTACGTAAAGCATTCCTGAAATTGGTGCAGTGGATAACAGCACTATTCATGATGCATGTTTTACTGATTATAGCACAAAAAAATCTCAAGGTAAGGTACTCAAACTCATTTTCTGGATTAACTATTTACCTGGTTCCTAAGATTTATCCTGCCCAAGATCCACTACTTAAAACATCTGACAAAACTGTTCCATCATAGTCTGTAGATATAAGCATGCTCTAACTTTGTTTTTTAAAAAAAGGATACATTTTAAAGCCATTTACACTTACTTTTAAGACGCCTTGTTGAATGAGAGGAGATGGATGATTGACCAATACAATAAGTACATCTGGTTGAATAATTTCATTGAAAACATCTAGGACCATGACATCGGGCATGGTGAGAACAACACCACACAAAAGATCATAAAGACCACAGCACACAAGATGAATGCAATCATCCATTGTTCTATTAAAAAAAAAATGGAATATAAAATATTCATAATAAGTCTTTTCAATATTAATGTCAAATATCTATATCATTCAATGTGCTATAAAAATGGAGTAAGTCATATTCATAATAAATCTTTTCAATAAAAGGATGTATAAAATATATGTATCCTGTTATATTGCATGTTTAATTTTCCTATACAGATATTCATGAGGTGCGCAATATGCCCTCCTCCGACAATTAGAGCAAGGGAAGCCTCTAGATCCCAGGTGTGCAGTAATATCAGATTTACTTAAACATGTGATATTAGCAATATGTGAATGATGAGCAGCATTATCACTGTTCCTTTTGTAAACAAAGTTTCTCCATCTCTAAAACAGTGTTTTACGTTAATAGGGAGAGCGCTAAGGCCTTTAGCAGTGTATGTCACACTCACAACGCTGCCAGAAATAATTTTAATGCCTATATCCTAGAACCCTGGTGCCCAACATACAGCCTGCCAATTCTCTGTGTTTGGCACGCTGCGTCCTACACTGGGTCTGCATGCTTTTAGGCACCTGAGGGAATTTCGAAGAGCCCCAGGTGCAGGAATGCTCTCTGTTTCAGCACCCAGTGTGTAAATACAGCTGGTACTGGTGGAGTGATCACTACCCAACAGTACAAAAAAGTACATGGGAGCTTGCAGTCAGGTGAGAAACCACTAACTACCAAAGTATTAAATGTATAAAATAATACTGCCACTGAACATCTGCGGGTTATTATTGCAGCCAATGACACCAATGTTGCAGGATATTTATTGTAGCCCCCGACACCAATGAAGGGCATTATTAATGCAGTCACAGACACCAATGCTGGGGGTTATTGTGGTCACAGACACCAATCCTTGAGGTTATTATTGTGGCCAATGAAACCGATGCCAGGGGTATTATTGCAGCCAATGACACCAATGCTGGAGGTTATTATTGTGGCCACTGACACCAGGGTTAGGGGTTAGTATTGCGGGCCCTGACATGCTTGGTGTTATTTTTCTACTCAGTGACCCCAAGGCTGGGGGTTATTATTGTGGTCACTGACACCAATAATGAGGGTTAATATTGTGGTCACTAATACCAAGCATGGGGCTTATTTTATAACCATTCTCTCTTCAGTGTTCATTGCGATAAAAAATGCATCAGGACCAAACTTTTTTCGCTGTTGAGTTGCTCTCCAACTGCTATTGCAGTGAAAGTGTCCATGGCTGCACTTGAGGCCCTCGATACGTTGCCTACAATGTCCCTGAATACAAACGCTTTAGCAAGAATGTGCCAAGACTTAGCCCAAATCCAGACCAATTCTAAAAAAAAACAAAAACAACCTAGTTTTAGGTTAACCCCTAATAACTGGAGAGGAAAGCTGTAGAAATACCCTAAGCAAAAACCTTCACCGCCACAAAAAAAAAGAGCCTTGATTCCTTTCTTTCAGGGGATAGGGAGACCTTAAAGTGGACTTTGCACTACAAGCAAGGTCTGCTTATTCCATGTCAAAACACTGGGGGAAAAAATGATGCTCCAGCACAATTCAGGAGCGCCTTCTTGCGAGATTAGGGCTACTAATCATTCCATGAAACCTCACTAGAAGGATGGTGATGTCACCTTTGCCTCCAAAAAAAGGAAAAAACCTTTTAAGCACATTTTTTTCTCTCCAAACTTAGCAATTTGGAATGGATACAAGGGGAAAGGGAGGCCTCAGTAAATAAGCAGATCTTTCATTTTTAGAAAGTACTTTGCATTCAGGGCAGCTGAATGTAAGAACTGAAAAACGAGCTAGAAGGGCACATCTAGGTTAGTATCTTCAAGGTGTGAATAGTAAGCAGCATATTAATTTTCATATATACAAAACTAAAGATAACCTCTGAACCTGGAAAAAACTGGTCCCCCCACTAAGTAGGTGCACAGAGGTACAAATGAAGAAGTCACCACATTACTCATCACCTATGTCATTCCTGTAGCCATGCAGCTCTGTTCTTGCAACTCCTTGTGATGGCAAATAAATATTTTTCTTGTAATTTTTTGCTGTACTTCAGCTTCAGCATGTGCCAATGTTTTCATCACCTCCAATAACAATTTATACTTGAAAATGTATTTGATGAGGCCTGCTCAATTGGGGAAATTGATATTCTACTATTACATTACAGAAGTAGAAAAAGAAAACGTTACCTTCCATCCACTTGGACTGAATCTCTACACGTAAGATCAAATACTGGGGAGAAAGGAAAACTACCCCATTCTTCAGAGTTTTTCTTCTCAGAAACATCTGTCCAGCTTGTACTAGATAGAGATCCACTAGAAGGAAAAGCTAAACCGAAGCTGGCAATATTACTCTGTCCTTTCCTAGAAGAGGAAATTCCTTTAAGAATACGAGGACGCTGCAAAAATACCTCTCCAGCACTTTCACATGGTGTTACTTTGCCAGAATCATCAGTTGTAATCTCCAAACTTATGTCTGACTGACCAAATTCCTCCTTAGAAGGCTCCGTAACCCTGATACAATCAGGAGGCATCAAGGAATCACATACTGTCTGTGCTGACTCGCAGCTGCTGATGTACTGTTCTTCCTGTCTTTTCAGCACATCCAATCTGTTCTCAGAACTGCAGATTATGTCTTCATTGGTTTTGTCATTCTCCATAGACTGTGCTAAGTCAACTCCACCTTTAAAGAGGCTCCCTTCTAATGTCTTTGGATATACTTTAGGTACGCATGAAGGTGACGCAGGCAAACTCTTGGAACGTGACCTTTCTGACACAGAGAGATGTATATGCTGTTGTGATGAAAACATTGCGACATCAGTACCTTTAGGAGAAAATATATAAGCAAGATATTATTTCTTTTAATTAATTTATATATACATATATATTTTTACAAGTTTGCTAGACATGGACACACAAGACACAATCTACCTACCGTATATTATATGGCGTTATATCATATATATGATATTTGGGGAAAAATATTTGGGCAAATATGTGATGTAGTTTTGCAGCAATGCTGACACAATAGATTTGACTCTGGATTAATGGACATATCTGCTATACTGCTGTACTGTCATTTTTTCCCCTCAAACACAATGCTACATAGGATTTAGTTTATAGTTTCTTACGCTATTAATAAGATGGGCAAAGAATCTGTTGAAAAAATGGTCGCTGTAACCTATACTTGGAAATGGCAGAAGTCCTGCCTAGGCCAATACTAAAACAGTAGCAATTACATAATAGTAACATATTGGAACAAATAATGTACCAGTAAATTAGTTTCAATAATTATTATACTCTTAAATTCCATTACATTTTCTACAGTGTTATTATGTGTAAATTATACAGTATTTGTACAACCACAATTCCCCAAAAATTGGGACACTGTAAAATCTACATAAAAACAGAATGCAATGATTTGCAAATCTCATAAAACCATATTTTATTCACAATAGAAAATGGAACACACATCAAATGTTTAAACCTTTCGCTACCACCGGCGTAAGGCTTACGGCGGTACAAAACTGTTTCCAGCTGGCCTGCTCAGTAAGCCTTACGTTGGTGACTTTCTCCCTTCTGCTATAAGCTCATGGCCGCTTTACTGACTGACCAACGGTTCCCCCGACGGTCCCCTTTGAAATAATACCTGTCATCAGCGACTGAGAAGCCGCTGATGACAGCTATTAACCTAAATTCCCCCCGCCGGCACCTGTCGCCTTCTCCCCCCCGCCTGGAGTCGCTCCATGCTTCTCCTCTGATCCCCGCTGCTCTCCCACGCCTGTATGGGCTGAGGCAGCGGGGATCTGAAGATAAATGGGCGGCGGGGGGGGGGCGGCGGAGCGAGCCGCTTGATCACGGTGATCGAGCGGCATGAGAGCAGCCCAGTGGGGAGGAAAGAGCAGCCGCTGTCATCCTGTCAGTTTCCGGATGACAGCGGCTATGTGCGTGGCCAAGGGCAGGATCGGTAAATATCTGTGACATTTACCAATCCTCAGTGTGAAGGAAAAACTATGGAGTGATCGTTTGATCATTCCAATGTTTGTAAATAACTGGGGACACAGAGTACCATGTGTCCCCAGTTATGAATGAACAGGATGTGATTTATATCACTTCCTGTTCATTCATGAATTTCTAAATGGGGAGTAGCACTCACTGTAGAGACTTCTCCCCATTCAGAAACTGGTTATAGTAAATATTTTACTATCAACAGTTTCTGAATGAATGGGAAGCCTCTGTACTGAGTGCTTCCCATTCATTGAGTGCTGAGGCTGCAGAAAAAGAAAATCGAGGACTCTGTGTCCTCAATTTCGCTTTCAAAAAGTGACTGTAAGGGATCTGTATTGACCCCTGATATTTCCCTGACGCCCGCTCCCCAACAGTAAAAAATAAATAAAAACAAAATAAGTAACTAATTTTTTTTTAAAATTAAATAAAACACCCCCCCACACACACACACATATTATACACGTGCAACAGGGGGGGCTCAAAATTTCACATCCTGAGCTACTAGCCAGGCCCTAAGAGTTACTCGCCACCAGTTGCCCCACCTAATCCCTACCCTTCCCTAGCCCTAACTCCGCCCCTAAACACACCAGCGCTGTAACACACGTTGCAGAGGTCAGCGATGTAACGCACGTTGCAGAAGTCAGCACTGTAACGCCCATTACAGAGCTCAGTGCTGTGACGCACATTACAGAGGTCAGTAATGCACATTACAGAGGTCAGCTCTGTAAAAGTCAGCGCTGTAACACACGTTGCAGAGATCAGCGCTGTAACACACATTACAGAGGTCAGCGCTGCAACGCACAGTGCAGAGGTCAGCGCTGCAACGCACAATGCAGAGGTCAGCGCTGCAACGCACAATGCAGAGGTCAGTGCTGCAACGCACAATGCAGAGGTCAGTGCTGCAACGCACAATGCAGAGGTCAGCTCTGTAACACACGTTGCAGAGATCAGCGCTGCAACGCACGTTGCAGAGGTCAGCGCTGCAACGCACAATGCAGAGGTCAGCGCTGCAACGCACAGGTCAGCGCTGCAACGCACAGGTCAGCGCTGCAACGCACAGGTCAGCGCTGCAACGCACAGGTCAGCGCTGCAACGCACAGGTCAGCGCTGCAACGCACAGGTCAGCGCTGCAACGCACAGGTCAGCGCTGCAACGCACAGGTCAGCGCTGCAACGCACAGGTCAGCGCTGCAACGCACAGGTCAGCGCTGCAACGCACAGGTCAGCGCTGCAACGCACAGGTCAGCGCTGCAACGCACAGGTCAGCGCTGCAACGCACAGGTCAGCGCTGCAACGCACAGGTCAGCGCTGCAACGCACAGGTCAGCGCTGCAACGCACAGGTCAGCGCTGCAACGCACAGGTCAGCGCTGCAACGCACAGGTCAGCGCTGCATCGCACAGGTCAGCGCTGCAACACACAATGCAGAGGTCAGCGCTGCAACACACAATGCAGAGGTCAGCGCTGCAACACACAATGCAGAGGTCAGCAGTATAAGGAAGAAAGAAAAGGGACTTACAGTTCATTTAGGTGGTATTCAGGTGCCCTCTTCTTTCTCCTTTCTTTTCACATCCCGCGCGGCATTAGTTTCTGTCTGTCCAATAGTAACTCTGCAGGCTTCCTTCCAGGTTATGGCAGCTGAGCTGGGCGGAGGAAGTCTGCAGGTGCCTGAAAGAGCCGAAGACAGCCGAATCTGATTCTCCTCCTCCAGGAGGAGTGAACACAAAGCCAGCAATCAACGCTCGGAAGCGGCAGTAGTGTTCGATCTCAGGATCTGCCGGCAGCGCACCCCCTCCATGGCATTCCACTCGCCCCCACGCAATTTTCACTCACAAATTGCGATGGGGCAAGTGGAAATTTTGAGGCCTGGTGTACACCATGCACAGCGATGCGCTGTTATAATGCATCACAGTGCTTGATTTTTGTTCTCTTTTCAAAATAACATTAATTTAACTGTGGCAGTACATGGTAAAGCGTTTAAATGTACACCTGTGTAATTTTATGACAACACAACACACAAACGATTACCATAAGTCGCCTATTTACAGTTTTGCATTAATTTTTTTACCGTTTCGCAAAAAGGCCCAATTTAAAATTTACATATATTTGTTATTTATTAACTCAATACAGTTTTATGGTTTTAGATTTAGTCAGAAGTTTTTTTTGTGTGCACCGATTCTGATTTTAGTGTGCTTTTATCAATTGAATTGTGTATTTTTATTGGTTTAATATTGATTTGACAAACATTTGCATAATTATTGCAGGACCTACAAAATTAGTAGAACTATCTTTTTATTCTACCGGGCATGTGCTTTCAGAAAATATATGGTTTGGGTGGCCTTTTACAAACGCTAGCAATGCAGCAGTAGATAAACAAAAAAATGGCAAAAATGGTGTGGCCAGCTGAGGTGCAAAACGTTCCGGAGGGCTTAGCCATTAAAGGGTTAAATAGAGAAAATGTACCATTTGAAGAAAAAAATAAGCTAATTTTGAAATTGATGGCAGTAACATGTCTCAAAAAAGTTAGGACAGGGCAACAAAAAGCTGGCACTTAAGTGGTACTAACAAGGAGGAGCTGGAAGAACATTTTGCAACTAATTAGGTTATTTGGCAACAGGTCAGTAACATGATGATTCGGTATAAAAAGAGCATCTTAAGGTGCCCACACACCTTACAATTTATCTGCAGATTTTCTGTGGTCAGATGGAAAAAGTGCAACAGATTGGCCCAGGTGGAGATTACTCCATCCACACAGTTAAATGTAGATGGAGGAATCTGTTGCACCTTTTCCATCTGACCACAAAAAATCTGCAGATAAATTGTAAGAAGTGTGGGCAGCTTTAGAGAGTCAGAGTGTCTCAGAAGTAAAGATGGGCAGATGAAGTTTTCTCATTCACACAATTTGCCATGCCATCCAAAACGAGCAAGTTAAAGCTCTATCATGCAAAGAAGAAGCCATATCTGAACATGATCCAGAAACGACTCCATCTTCTCCTGGCCAAATTTCACTTAAAATGGTCTTTTGCAAAGTGGAAAACTATTCTGTGGTCAGACCAATCCAAATTTTACATTCCTTTTGAAAACAACGGGCTCCGCGTCCTCCGGGCTAAAGAGGACAGGGATCTTCTGGCTTACGGGGGTGCATTAGTGCATATGGAATGGGCAGCTTGCATATCTGGAAAGGTAACATCTATGCTGAAAGATATATCCAGGTTTTAGAGCAGTGTATGCTCCCATCCAGACAATGTCTTTTTCAAGGAAGGTCTTGCATATTTCAGCAGGACAATGCTAAACCGCATACTGCATCTATGACAACAGAATGGCTTCACAGTAGAAAAGTCCGGGCGCTTAGCTGGCCTGCCTGCAGTGCACCAATTAAAAATATTTGGTGCATCTTTAAACGAAAATACAAGAAGACCCAGGACTATTGCGCAATTAAAATGATATGATGATATGTTTTCTATTTCCTATTGTGAATAAAATATGGGCTTATGAGATTTGCAAATCACGGCATTCTGGTTTTATGTACATTTTACACAGCATCCCAACTTTTTTGGAATTTGGGTAGTATAATTATTCTTTATTTTTAAAAACTCTGAAACAAGTGCTTCTGAAAAACACAAGTTTTTCACTTGTAAAGCATAAACTAATGAAATTGCCAAAAACTATAAGTTAACATGCCCAAGAAGTTCCTCTTTTAAAGTAAAAGATAATAGAAATTGGTAAAATAATAACTAATTGCGTTACTTACAATATCCTTTCTCTGCCCAAGTGTTGATCAATATAAGGAGACTGTCACTTTACCAAACCTAAAAGCTAATGATAGGTGTGAAGTGCAGGCTCCCATAACTGTCTGCATATACCTGCAGCAGCTATCAGTGCCTCCTGCTTCACTTCAATATCAGGCTTTTTTTGCAGCCAAAGCTTCAACACTTCTATCGCAGCATGCTTACCAATTCCCCAGCACATACCTATTAACCCATCACTATTATAGCCTGCCTCATTAACCTATAAAATGCGCAGAGGGCAGAAAGAGCATCTTTTAGCACTACCCAGAAGTTTTTGCCATACCAATACACATAAATGTACTGCAGAGGTTTATAATCAGTTTGACCATTTTTCTTCAAAGGCATGTATGACAGCAACTACCATATATATTCACTTTTTACTTCAGCTCTTGTATTACTGGCAGATTATTGCAAGAGAAGGGCTCGCTAGAGCGCCTTACGTGAACTCACAGGGAGAACAAAGAGGCAATCCTATTGCCAGAAGGAAACTGTAGCAGAGAGTCTCAACAGCATATGCCATGCATTGACAGTGGAGGGAAATTTCCTTGGTATGTTCAGAGCAGAACAAGAATGGAAGGACAATGTCCTGGTTAAAGCAGGAGTATAAAACTGTCGGGAGAAAGGAGGCCTTAAGCCTCATCGCAAACTTGTCTATGTGTAATACTAGAAAGGCTCTTTACAGGATTAGGTCACTAACTCTGAGAACCGCCTTGCAGAGGTGATCGCAACAAGAAAGGCCACCTTGCGAGTGAGGTCAAATAAGAGAATATTGCCTATTGCTTCAAAGGGAAGCCTTAGAAGGGCCAAAACAACCAGGCAGAGATCCAACTTTGTCACCAGTGAGTTTACAGGTGGAGCAATGCGAGTGACACCCTGTCCAAAAGCCTTCACCAAGGAGTGAGAGGCAAGGGACCTTTGAAAAAGGATAACTAGGGATGGGATTTGTCCCCCGATTGTACTCAAAGCTACACACTGATCCAAACCAGACTGGAGGAAGGATAGAAACTGTCCCATGGAGAACTTTCTAGAGTGGAACTTCCAATCCTTGCACCACGCAAAGCAAGCCTTCTTGGTGCAATGGTACATTTTGCCATAAGTCAACTTCCTAGCTTTCAGGAGTGTAGAATGACTGGGTTTGACAGGCCCCCATCCTCTAGGACCAGGGCTTTAACAAAATGGGGAGACTAAGGGTACCAAATACACAAAATGGCTGGCTCTTTCCCTAGGGGCTGTGAGAAAATGAGGAAGTGTTGAAGCCCTTACTTCATCACTGCAAAGAACAAACAAAGAATCACAGCCTGTACTTTAGGGCTGCAAGGTAAAATTTAAAGTGTCTCCGGCCTGCTCCTTAAGGCAGCAACACATAGTAAAAGTGTCATGACCTGCATGCCACAGATGTAATCGTTCAGGCAAGTGCTGGCCTTGCATCTTCTTCCAAGTGAGGTGAGGTGAGGGAAAGGTCCCCCCAAGGTTTAGCTGAGGAGTCAACCAATCCAGAAAGCTGCAAGAAAGGAAGCACACTAGCTATGGTACAACTAGAACATGATAGAATTATCTTGGAAAAAATGCAAAACAAACAAGGAAAGAAGTATTCTTCTCTCAGTAGAGCAAAAATACCCATCACCTATGGACACTAGCAAAAAACTGAGACTTGCCATTATATAGGGGCTGTCCTTGCAGCTTTTTCTTTTTGCCAGTGTCCAATCACCTGAAGTAGCTGCATATAGCCTACGGTTAAGATTCTGTGTACCATAGTGTATGATTAACAAAATACTGTACCCCATTTTTATTATTGGATGCAAACTTTTGCATTACCTTTCTCCAGTGAGTCTGAAAACTCTGAGGGGCTTTTGCTTGAAAACACATGACCTACAGCAGATTGTCCTCCAAGGCTAGAATGTCTCTGATTTATAAATGATTTTAGTTTTTCTTGAAATATCTTGTCGTCTATTGTGAAACAAAGTGGAACATTAATGATAATAATAAAGTGGGAACAATTTGATGTAAAAATACAAAACGTTATGCCTACATTAAAAAGTGTATTAATATTTTCATATTTACAGTAGCAATTTCTATATACAGATGCAGTCAAAATACAGTTGTAGAATTGGATAACAAAATAAAGGTAAGGAATAATTGTAGGGATGACCAATCTTTTTTTTTTTTTTCCTCCTTTTTTTGAGTGTTAAACAGATCCAACATCTATTGCCATAACAATTACTTTTGACTTCTGTCCTACTATCACATACATCATATGAAAGCACATGTGAAAGCATTCCATGGGCTACTAATGATATCCTGCACCACTGTAAGGCCCCGTTCACACCAACGCGTCATCCTTTTTGCGCTTTTGTATGCACGCACGCACATGAAGACGCACGTTTTGATTGGCTGCCTAAGAAACATTGCGCTCAGCGTACAAACGTGCAACATGCTTCTGCCGCATGTTTCCTGGTGTTTCTACTGAAGTCTATGGGTTAAAAAACAGCTAAAAAACTGCCAAACGCTCATGTACTTTATTTCTGTGTTTGGCATTTTGCTGCTGGTTTTTTGCTGCTCAGGTGTAAACACAGGCTATTGAAAATCATGGGATTTCTTATGTTGGGTGTTTGGAAGCGCATTTTCTATTGTTTAAAAACGCCTGGGTGTGAACCAGGGCCAACAGCCATAAAGTTTTAAGGTTTATTTAAAAGTGCATGTAAACTCTAACAATGAAAGTCTCCTTTTTGCTTGCTCACGTTCTGTTAAATATGCTATTGAAAGTGTTTTGTTATACGTTTGACAAGTGCAAAACAAATATCCATGAATAAAATATCCAATGGCCTCTGCTTCTGCTGCAGTGTTTAGCCCTGCCCTGTTAATTTCTGTAGACAACAGAACACATCCTCCATGAAAGAGGAAAAAAGTCCTCTTTCTCTGCTTCCAAGTTTCATTCAGCTATGACACCAGATATTTGAAGGCTTGAAAGTTGAAAGCTGAAATAAGCACACTGGACAACCTTGACAGTTTGAATGCTTTTAAAGTAACTGTTTTGGGAGACAGTAAATTGGTGGACTCTTTAAAGTCAATCTCAAAAATGACATGTCCATCCAAAACTACCCTGTCCACAGGGTAACAATGTTGCAGGGAGTTGCACAGCAGAGTGAATAGCATTGTCAATCTGCTGCAGGAAATGGAAAAATAACAGATATACTTGCAGGATCAACATGTAATAACTATTTTACAAGAGGGATTCAGAATTTTTTTTTAAAAATCCACGGTGCTAAAGGTTAAGTCCGGGCTGAAGAAAAGGCTACCATTGTAAATGGGTCCCCTGTCACACTGCAAAAGTTGACTGCTAGTTTTGTCTAAAGGGATTGGTAGAAGGTCAAATACTAAATGTTATTCCTCACTCCAACAGGCTTCTTCTGTGCTGCACAACCAGTCCCCTGAAGCTATTTCTCTTCAATGCGGGAACTGAGCGGTCAGACACTCTGACATCATTACATGCAATGCAGGACAACATCACATAATCAGACAGTGGAAGAAAGCCCCAGATGATTGAAGAAATATTTAAATATTTCACCTCACTCATCTTCCCCTAGATAAAATGAGCAGTTAACCTCAAAGAGGAACCTACTACAAAAGGTAAGTGCCTCCAGCTCAAAGACTAGCTTGAATGCTAGTGACATCACACTTCTCTTATTAGTGTAATGTACAGTATGAAACGACTTTGGAAACAGAAAACTATGTGGATATAATACCTGTGCCAGAAAAAAAATATGTTTAAAGTAGAACTATGGCCTCCCAAAAGATATGTGCTGGTGCATTTAATTATAGGTTCATGGGCTGGGTTCAGACTGTTGCACTGTGGTAACATGCATTGTGTATTGATGTGCTGCAGTGCCAACAACAATAGGACCGCATTACACAGTCATGCACCACAATGCATAACAGTGCACTACCACGTGTTTTGGTGCACGGTTACAAAAAAATAAATATGCATGCACCGTTTTTGGTGTGTTCAAATAAATGGGCTGTCCTAACACAACACATGTTGACGACTATCGATGCACATTCGTCAAACGCACCGTGTGAACCCATGGTTACAGTTTTCTCTTCATTCTGAAGCCGGGTTCAGAGCCAAGCTGCATTTCTCAAAGACTTTGCCTGCATGCACTACAGTGAGAAGAAAAAATGTTTTAGGGGCGTAGCTGTCAGCATCGACTGTAGCTGGTCAGTCAGGATCTGGTCACACCTAGTCCTGCCCACAGCTTTGTGGATTGACAGCACTGCCTCTCTTGCTGAAAGCTTCTCACTGTGGGCTGCAGTGTCTGGGAGGAGGGGAACATGTAAGACACAAAGGTGGATTAGGCTTAGCCAGAGAAGCCTCAGTTGAGGAGGCTTGGGCATTTTTAAAAGTAACCGGATTTGGTTCCTGTTTAGACTGCTATACAGGAGCCGTTAGTTGTACATTACAAATCATCCACCAATTAAAGAAAAACCCACCTTTGCAATATTTTTAATTAGGCACTGCATTTAGACAGAATATGGTGACTGAGAACATTAAAATGTTAAACATTTATTGCAATAGTTAAACTAGATAACGGACTGTAATAATATATTTATTACATAAAAAGGAAACCTCTTACCAATGTGTAGAGAGAAGAAGAAATTGTTAGGATTGTGGCAAACATAAGTGTTTGTTGGTGGGTGAACTGCCAAGAGGAAACTGAAGATTAACTGAAGAAGATCTAGTTCTGGAGGAGATCCAAGTACTTCCTCAATGATCCTGATATACGATACACAGACATCTTGAGGAATAGATGTAATATGTTCTTCTCTGTGTTCCTAATATAAAAAGATTTTAAAGTAATAATTGTAAACCCTGATGAGAACGAACAACAAATGGCGCACACCAAAGAAATCATGACACCTTTAAAAGCTTCATTTATATGTAGTTAAGTCCCCTTTGAAATATATTATCTATGGGCTCAGTAACAGTCATGGAATTACCCAATATTGTCAATCAAAACAATCCATTATAGTCGTCTTGCTTTTGGATCAGAATTCATGGTGCTCGCCTATATACTTCTGTTCTACCTCAGTGTTATATGTCAAATAAAATTTTCATTCATTCTAATAAAGCCACCTCTGTTATAATTTAAAGGAGGTATGTAGAAAGGTAACTGCTCATTTTTCTCTGTGGGCTGGAATACATAAATATTCACCTGATGATCATTCCTGTAGTGGGAGTGCTCACCTCCTCTGCTCTGGCTGTGGTATGTTCCTCAGCGTCCACATGTCTAATGCAGGTGAATGGACTGCATTAGAAGAAGTGATAACGTCAGTGGGGCTTAGACCGCCCAAGCCCGGGGAAGGAGAGGGCTGGGGGACTGATCTAGCAGCTAAGCAGAATTGAGGATCAGGTGTGCATTTTTTATTTTAGCCCCTAGACCAAAACGAGCAGTTAACCCTTGAAGCGTGGGGGTATCCCTACCGCAAGGGTTAACTTTTTTTATTCCTGGAGTTCATCTTTAAGATACTGATAATCCTCAGAGTATCTCTGCATCTGGAGACAAACGTGTCCAGTTTGTTGTTAAACATGGAGGCCAGGAGGTCCACATCCTGTGTGGAAATACTTGAAGGTTTAGAGACCACTCTTCCAGATCCAGACGCTACAGGCAGTCTGCCTGCCAATTGTCTAAGCTTGGAATGTGAGCAGTGGACAAGCCTGGAAGTTAGGGTTCTGCCTAGGCTTGAATTCTTTCTACTTCTTGTGCCACAGCAAGACTTTTATCTTTTCCCTAATGACTCCAGATGGGGTGCCCAATGTTGAAGGAGCAACCTAATCGCTTCGAGCTCCAGAATGAATGGGAGACCAGATTTCTCTGTCATCCAAGTTCCCTGCATTGACAAGGATCTAGGACTGCTCCTCAGCCCTGCAGGCTGGCATCCATTGTTAGGCTCTTAAAACACCATGGGAGGAAGGATTTCCCCGACACCAGAGCCTTATTTCTGAACCCCCAAACAGGAGATAACCTGGTCTTCGGTGAGGGGGTTTGTCTAGAGATTAAACTGATTTGTCCCACAATGACAGAATCTTGTGTTGTAGATGTCTGGAGTAAGACTGAGCAAATGGCATTGTCTTGAAGTAGACTACCATAAAGTTCAAAACTCCCATGCAGAATTGCAGAGTAGGATGGCTCCTGAACTGTAGAGACTGATTGTGGAAGAAGGGCATCAGAAGATTTACCGTGGGAAAAACAATTCTGGCTTAAGTTGTAGCTACAATGAGATTCAGATTTTCCAAGAGATGTTTTGGTTCCAGCCCCGAATTCTGAAGGTTCCTGATCCAGCTGAATCTTTTTAAGGACTGGACCGTCCGTATCACATTGTCAATCAGAAATAGTGCCAACTGTTCCCTCAATAGGATATTGTCTAGGTACCCCCACAATAAGAATACCCTGGGAGCATAGTAAGGCTAGCACGGGTTCTAATACCTTGTTAAACACTCAGGATGAAAATGACAGGCTAACATTGAGATTGATAAAAGTCCAAATTACCTGAAGAATCTGACAAGCAAGCAAGAAATGATGTACCACTCTGGCTTTTAGAAACTGCTTTATATTAAACACCTTGAGAGGATGGTTATCTCTGATAAGTATCTGTAATGAGGTTAGTAAGGTTTCCCAAACACCAGCCTAAAGTAAACAGAAAAAAAAACGTAAATTGACTTTTAATCTCTTCATGATAGAAATTAAATACAATTTATTACATAAAACCTAAGCCAAATGCCTAGGAGGACATTTTAAATTAAAAGCTGTACACCAAAGATTTGCACATTTCATTGAAAATTTTAACTTTAGACCCAAGCTAAACATAACAGTAATAATAATATTAGCTTAATCCATAATAAAATTGTATGTGTGTTGTATAGAGCCAACAGTAAATGTTGATGGTGTTGGAATCTTACTAAAAGTGATTTCGAAATGAAATGATTTTATGTAAACGTGTACAGATGGATACATCTTTTGGGTACCTAAAAAGCCTGCAACAGTATTCTCTATTTCGTTTTTGTTCAGCTCTTGATAAGATACGGTACCTTTAAATATTCATTTTTACATCAGCACACCTTCTATACAGTGTAATTATTGTTCCCTGTAACTAATCCTGAAGAGTAGAGACTAACTTTTTAATCTAGGAACAACTGGTTACATTTGAGGTTAGCTAAAAAAATAAGCAAGTAACAGCAATTAGTTACAAAGCCACAGGAATATTGTATGATTACCCTTGATTATATCATGCCACTGTGTACCATAAACCATAACAAATTACATGTTTCATCAGCGGTCGATAACTAACTTTACCGAATCATGTTACAACTCCTAGAGATTGTAGTTTAGAGATATCCTCACCAGAATCCTTTGTTCCATTCAACTGTCACAAACATTACAAAGTCAAATTATGTAATATAGAAGACAGAATGCAGACTACACAAGAAACGGAAGTTTCACTGCAAGAAAGTGATGCCTTTTTATGGACTTGGAAAAGGGGCAGTAAAATAAGCCAGTGTGGGGAAATCTTTATGGGGAAAACTATAGGAGATGAAAGGAAGCGGCCAAGTGTCTCAATCCATCAATGCCGAAGTAAAACTGAGCTATCATTTTGGGATATTCCATATGTGATGGAATGAGACAGTGAATACCATCTGTTTTAAGAAGGCTTAATTGTGTTTTTTCAAGACAAAGAAGCATTACATCAAGTGCAATAGGGGGGAAGGGGAAGTGATCACTAGCAATATTGGCATGCTATCAGGGCCCGCAAAGAAGCTTCCCATTCTAGGAGTCACAAAACAGAAACAATCTAAACTATGGGGTTATTCACAAAAGGGTGAAGAGTTTGGAGAAGTAAACAAACAATCTAGGCTAAAATACATGATATTGGAAAAATTGACCAATTCAGCTCACTTTCCAGTTGAGCTTTGTTGTCCTAGATTGTTCACTTCTCCTGCCTTCTCCAAACTCTTCACCCTTTTGTGAATAACCCTGTATAAATACATAGAAACATATACAGTACATGCATAAATGAAATGGGTACTGTGACAGTGTAATACTTAAAGAAATGCATGTAACAGTTATACAGCTTCTAAATTATTAAAGTTAAAGTCAAGCACAAATTAATATGATCAGAAGTAGGGCCAACTTCATAAAATATAAGAAAATAGAACACAAAGAGTTAAGAAAATCTCTTGATGTATAGGCCAATGCAGCCTGGGGTTGTCCACCAGAACCCCTTGACAACTATATACTGAGTGGCCAGATTATTATGACCACCTGACGTTTGTAGGCAAATTGGCTATAATTAGCTATATTTTCGCGCTGAAGTTGCTAGAGGGCCAGACCATTATAAATAGCGAAGCAGGTTGTTTACCACGACAGTAGAGGTGATTTTTTTCTGAAGATATGGGTAAACAACGCAATTTAACAGCCTTTGAACGTGGGATGATTGTTGGCGCTCGGAGCCATGGGGCGAGTATCAGCAAAACAGCAGAATTTGTTAAATGTTCAAGAGCAACTGTTGTTAAAGTGTTTAAAGACTGGACTGTCAGCCGAAAATCTGGGTCTGAACGTGTGAATTGTGGCCGTCAGCGACTAGTCAATGTTAGGGCAGAACGGAGAGTGGCAAGACTGGTACAAGACAACAGAAGGGCAACAGTGCAGTGCCAGATTCCTAGCATCAACTTTCAACATCTCGTAGAGTCACGAGGCGGCCCAACGAAGTACTGATGGGCCATAATAATCTAGCCACTCAGTGTATATTTAAACAGCTGCTTTGTTCTTTTCCTTGTGATCTGGTATTGGCTCAAAACCCCAAAAAGAGGGGGGAGTGGCCGGCGCGCGTCCTGCATGGACGGCTACTTCGGAGCTCTGCTCAATATCGAGCCCTAAGGCAACCCAAAGCGACACAGCAGGTCACTTATCCTGCTGTCCAGCCGGTGGAAACGCTACACGACTCTGCAGCGATGTCTAAAGGGGAAGAAAAGGGCGGGCGGCTGCACGAAGAAACTATCAGATATCTTGACTACTTCGAGCAGACAGCGTGGCCAAGATGGCGCTGGCTCTTCTCAGAAGCGCTCGTCTGGCGCTTCCTCAGCTGCCTCCTTATGCTAACCTGCCAGTGCCTCTCCTCTCTCACTGCAGGATCCTACCCACATCCAAAGTCCTTATCAGAGCGCAGCCCAGCGAAGTCCAGGCCGCAAATGTCACCACAGGCTGCAATCCAGGTAGAGGTGAGCTTGCTTAATGCATCCCTTGACGACACCAGGGAACTTGTAGCCCCAATTGATGATTTCCCTATTTCTAATCCAGTCGGATGTCTTAAGGATATGGTAATGTCGTTGAGAAGTTCTTTGAATTCAGATATGCAATCCTTAATAAACACAATTTACAACGGATCTGAATCAGCTGGGAGACAGGGTCACACATATTGAAGATAAGATGGGGGAGTTTGTGTACACCTTTAATGACCTTGTGGACTACCACAATGATAGAGATGATGAGATGGAGTGAGTTAAATCTAAACTTGCGGATCTTGAGGATCGCTCAAGACGCAATAACATTAAGATCCGTGGCATACCAGAATCTGTCACTTTGTCCGATCTACCGCAGTATGCAGCCACCCTCCTCAAAGCAGTGCTTCCTCACTCGCAACAAGTTGATATCACAATTGACCGCATCCACTGTCTCCCTAAACCTACATATTTGCCTGATAAAATACATAGGGATGTTTTGATGCAAGTCTACTTCTATCATGTGAAAGGTCAATTCCTACGCATGGTGCGGGATACTTCAAATCCCATGCGCCAACTACGCCCAACTACAATTTTTTACTGATCTATACCAACACACCAAGCTGCTTAGGCAACGCCTCCTGTCTATCACCAAGGCTCACAGAAACCACTGCATCGCCTATCGCTGGGGATACCCTACTAAGCTCATCTTAACAAGGGAAGGTGAATCTTACACTATATCCACATTGAAACAGGGTCTATCTCTCCTAAAGGTATGGAACAGTCTCCCCGCTGCTGATATCACACCTGCAGAGGCTGATTCTGAAAGGCGCCTTGTTTCATGTAAATGCAGCTCCAAACAAACGAAATAGTGACCTGCTGTACTTCACTGAATCGATCTGTTTCCTTCAGGCCAGAGGGCTCTCTGGAGCTCCACTGCTCAGTGATACCCCCCGTTGCTATGCGCAGTAACACTCACTGCGAACTGTTCCCTTCGAGGGATTTTTATTTTTACACAAAGTCGATTGTTAGTTTACTTGTTTTTTTTTTTCCTTTTTACATTATGAGCCAAGCACGGTTCCTTACATGTTCTTCGTGTACATCCCAAGTCTCAGATGGTTGCCTACCGTTGTTGAGAACATCGCCATATTCGTCCTTTCTCGCCGTGAGTACGCCTATATGTTCATCTCCCTAATAGCCCTTTTCCTATGTCTTTGAAGATCCTATCCTTGAACGTTAAAGGCTTTAATCACCCAACTAAAAGGCGATTTATGTGGAAAGAAGCTCAATCTCAGACAGTAGATGTCCCTTGCATCCAAGAAACACACCTCCAATCTTCAAAGTCACCATCATGGTCGCACAGCTGTTTCCCTCATATATTTACTGCCCACTACTCTAAGAAATCCCGCGGGTCCTGATTGCGTTCAGAGACTCTTAGTTTCTCGCTTCTGGATTCTTATTTTAACCCAATGGCCGTTCTCATATTCGTGTGCTCCCTTAACTCAACCATTTATACCATCGCCTACTTATATGCTCCTAATACACACCAGATCCGCTTTCTGCGTAAAGTCCTTAAGAAACTCTCCACCATCCGTCAAGGCTATCTCCTTCTTGCTGGCGATTTCAATTTGATCCCCGATGCCTCTTTGGACTCCTCTAACACCTCCAAGAGACCTTCCCCTAATTTTCAAGCTCTGCTCACTGAGGAGGATGTTTACGATGTTTGGCAATGTTTACATGCTTCTGAGAAGGATTACACTTATTTCTCACCACCTCATAAGTAGTCCTTACTCTAGGATTTACTTGTTTATAGCTGATAAATGTCTTCTTTCCAGGATAGCTGATTCTGCCATTCATGACATCACGTGGTCGGACCACACTCCAGTTACTTTAACTATTTCAGAGGGTCCTTCCGTCTGATGTCTATGTGTGGCGCAATAATGTATCCCTGTTGCTCCAGCCTCATAATGTGAAAATTGTCAATGATAACGAAGGAATATTTTGCTTTAAATTCCTCCTCGGTTACCGATGTTTTTTGTTTGTGAAATGCACATAGGGCCTATATAAGGGGCGTCCATTTGAAGCTGGGGGCACTAGCTAAGAGGCAGAGGTCCCAGTAAGTTATCCAACTACTAGCTCAGATTAGAACGTTAGAGTCCCAAAATAAAGCCCACCCTACCTTATCTATTTCCTCCAAAATTTCTAAATTAAGAACAGACCTTAGATTGGTTCTACTGAATCAATTTGATAAACAAACCTTTCCAACTAGAGCAAACTTTTATTCCAGTGGTAGTAGTGCTGGTAAACTCCTTGCTAGACGGGTGAAGAAAACTAGAATCACAAGATATGGCACCCCCAACATATCGCAGATGCTTTTAGCTCTCATTATAGTGCTCTTTATAATCTCAAGGA